GGTCAATATAACCACTACAATTTAGCTGAACATACGAGGTGAAGCTCACTCGTTCCACTTCTGTGCCAAAGGGGTCAGACTATGGGATTGGTGTATTCTTCATTATATCTATCCGGTTTCCGCCACATAACCAGTACATAATTTGGAATGTATTGCATGATTGTCTTCTCCTTCCACCTCCCGTGGTCAAGGGATGTGATGAGCTACCTTTTTTCACAAATGAAAAGACACTGCCTTCAATAGTATGCTGTTCATAAAAGTGCTGGGTTATTCTCTTTCCCAGCTCAATGAAAAAATTAACTTCTAACACACATCTGTAATTATTTGAAAGAAACTCATGTTTTTAATTATTCTCTTCCTTATTATTAGAAAAGAAGATGGAAGCCCAGTTCAATTTATTGAATGAGAAATTAGGAAGTGTCCAAAAGCACTTAGAAGTCCAGCTTCAAAATCCACTCCTCGTTCTGGAAGCACAGATTATACAACTGAGAAATCAGTTGTCCTCCATTGATGAAAAAGTTTCCCAGGAAGGAGAAAAAAAGCTCAAAACTATAGAGTGCATGCGGTTTGCCAACAGAGATGAGCTGAAGGTGCAGGAATGGAGATATCTCCCGGAGAAGAAGGAAATCAGTCATTTGGAAAAGAAATTAGAACAGCTAATGAATACAGGTAAGAGAGGACAAATCAGGCTGCACTTGCATCAGTCATACACAAGCCCTCTCTGTCTATGAGAAGAAAACCTTCCTGGAATCTTACTGGAATTCAATTTAATTAGGGGTGGATTGAAAAAAAAAGAAGCTTCTAGCCAGTTTTGACAGTTTTCCAAGTATAAAGACAACCTGAATGTTCCTTCCTTCCTTTGTGTATAACTCAGTGGCACAAACATTGTTAATGCAGAGGTACGGTTACTCAGCGGTATGTCATTCCCTTGCAAAATGTTGAATTGTGCAAAACCCAAATTTCTTCAAACCAGAAATGCACAACTAAGGTAGCCCATGTGAACTTCCTTCTGTCCTCTTTCAGCAATGACCCAATATGCCCATGTGTTTATCGCTAAGTGTTTGAGAATACACCAGGTTCTGGCATCTCCAGCATCTGGTAATGATGACAGTCAGTATAAGTATGTTGAGGTATTTCTGTCCTTTCTGTCCTTTAACAGATTTAAGTGGAATCATATGGGAATGGGTTGAAAGAGAAGTGAATTGTTTTCTATTTCAGCAACTGTGGGTTTGACAGACGAAAAATATGTTTGTATGTATAATAGAGCATATTGAGGCATTGCTAAAAGAGATCAGCGTCATTGCTGTATGTGAAATTTAAATTGTGTATTTCTGGTTTTCAGAAGTTTGAGTTCATAGCTGAACTAAGTTCCAAAACTTCTGTCATTATGCAAACAAAGACACACATCTTTGCCAAGAATATTCTGAAAGACACATATATTCTGATGTCATTTCACTTAATATAAATACTTTCTCAATTTACTTAATTGATTAATGAAGTCATGATTGTTTACAGCTGAGAGCACCAACAATTTTTAATGATAAAATTGTTCAGTGGGTCCTTCTTCCCCCATAAGTCATTCTTCTCTCTTGATTCCCCAATAAGAAACATCTGCCATAACAAATATCCTTCATCAATCTCCTAGTTTACATATGCCTATGTAAGCATTATATACATGCATATTTCTAAAGGGGGGGGGGGCGTTCCATGAATATAGGGAGTTCTATAGATGTGGAGGTGCCAAGGATCATTAAATATAGCCTAATGAACAGAATTCCTGAATGGGGTTACATATAGGCTAAGGGCCAATGTTCTGGGCATTGGAATCCACCATACTCTTTGTTAATATCATAAAGATTCTAAAGAATAGTTAATATATATAAAAGAATTAAATATAGAAAAAGAGAAGGACTAAAAGGGTTAATATGTACTAATAGGAACTAATGCAAAAGTTCTCCTTTACGTTGCTCTGCCTGTAACCACATGTGGGACATGTGCTGTCTTGTGGTGCTTTCTGGTAGAACCTTCTCCAAGAGGTGCCTACTGGAGTGCACGTGCGCCCACTCATAGACTCATAGACTCATAGACTC